TCGATAGAAACACCTAAATCTCTCTCTCCGTTTGCCTCATCCAATTTAACATCGCCGAACGCGTCGAGAGACCTACCGTTGTTTCGACCGACGTGGAGAACTTTACACTTACTTTTATTAAACCTCGTGAGCCATTTCTTGCTCCACTCGTCCAAAAGACTTAAATCTCGCTCGGCTCGAGCCCTATCCGCCTCCCCCCTTATGGTAAAACCTAACTGGCATATTGGTCAAAGTGAGAGTTAATGTAAACGTACTAGATTGGATTCTGCAACCTGTTGAAGACCGAATTTTAAACAGTTCACATCCCAAGTCCATATTGAGAAATGATTTAATTTTACTAGCTGTTCAATATTGATAGAAGAATGAGAGCGTTTTGCATGTCTGTGCGAATTCAGATGCTGATGAGAGTAAGGATAGCCTGTCACATAGCAGTGGGTCTTCTCATCGGAATGATGTACTTCGACCTGGGTGATGATGCGAACAAGGTGTACAACAACATGACCGCGCTCTTCTTTAACATCATTTTCCTCATGGTCACCGCCATGATGCCCACCTTCCTCACATGTGGGCACAAGTATTCTTGCTCACTTGGCTTCACATTCTCATCGTTGCTTTTCATCTGTTTTAATACCAAATGTTGACAGTTCCCTTGGAGATGCCTGTGTTGATTCGACAGAATCTGAACTCGTGGTACAGCCTCAAGGCCTACTATCTTGCCAAAACATTCGTTGACTTCCCCTTTCAGGTGAGTAATTCAGTTTCCTCTCTCTTCGTTCATTTTTTTCAAGAGTGCATAATTCCGGTTTATCTGTACTTCGGCTTTCATCTACCTTCTCGATATTTTTCTGACCTTGTCTTCATGATCATGCTTTAATTATGGACAGGATCATTCATGGTGTTACCTTGCTGGAGGTCCATCACCTCTTTTTGACAGATCCTTATATCAAATTAGCGTAAAGTCTTCCCAACACTTCTTATATCTTATTAATGTGATAACGGCATATTAAGAATGTATCGACAATAAGTCAATCCCTAAATACTGAAGTATAAGCCTAGGTACGGATCTGTTGTTACATTTGTCACTATACCACGAGTCAGCATAGATGCCACATTTCGAGCAGTTGCTAGCAAACCAAATACCATTTGTGAAGTTCCATTCGTCCTAAAGATACAGTATCATCGAGGTCTGTTTCACCACCCTCAAAGTTGGTTGCAATGGCAAATGCGAACGGACGGAATGAGAAAATAAGAGAAGCACATGCCATGAGTCATGGACCTTCTAGGCATAACCTACGACGTATACTAGGCAAGCGTGGGGTTGAATAGAGTGAGCCTATAACATAAGGTACTAGTGCATAATGACACCTTGTACTCAGCAAGCTCCACAAGGGTCGAACTCAGGACTGGACTGGAAAACTATGCGTTTTGCTAATTGGGTGAGGCGAGATGCACGGCAAGATGAGGAAACCAATGGGCGACGGTGATCAATGGGAAGTATTTCCTACTACTTCTCCAGACTTCTGAAAAAGAGACCGAATGAGATTTATCTCGGTCTGGCGTTTCAGCTGCAACAATGACAGTGTGGCGTTAAACGTATCGGGCGAAGCCTGAAAAGACCAAGAGCACTCCTCGGTGAACTCCAGGGATGAGTTCCTGCCACGTATATGTCGAAGGTGTATATGTTTAGACCTTTCCAGGATTTTCTATGGAAATGTGCATTGAGATGCTGCACAAGCTAAAGTTAAAGCAAAAAAAAAGGCTTGAAAAAAAAAAGTTTCATGTAGTATTCTAGTACTCCGCTACTTCTATGACTATTTATAAAGTCTTTCTGGAAGTAATGCGAAGGCTTCGGCAAGACAGGCAGTGTATTCTGGACATCATCAAAGACCGAAATGGGAAGGTGCAGTCTGACGAGGCAGAAGCCCTTCTTAGTTGTAAGAAATATCTCTAAAAGCTTCGAAGGGTGTTCAAATTACGGTGAAGTCACTCTCCATTGACATAACTGGTAAGATTTGAGCTAGAAAAGAGAACTCGGGGAGTCATTGTAGAAGCCATCCAAGAGGAGCAGTGCAGTTTTCGTAGAGGGCGCAACAACCATGAACCAGCTCTTTATTCTCCATCATATCTTCGAGAAGCATTTGAAGTATGCAGAAGAGAAATACATGAGTTTGGTGGGTTTAGAAAAGCTTACTACTGTCTGTTTCGTACGCTTCTGGATCTGCTTCTGCTGTGACTCCATTGAGTTGAGGACGGAATAGAAAACGTGAGTTGAGCATACTGAATTCCTCATTCAGCCTCCAATTATATTAATACCATACATCAGCATCCAGATACATCGATGTAAAAAATTTTATTTAATCAAATAATTTAAGATTTTTGCATACTTTTTTATTTTCATTGTGCGGACCTTGCATATTTATTTGCATATTATTATGTATAAGCAAGTACATGTTTTCCTGCAACCTCGTGGGAACTTGCAATCCAGATAGAGGCCGTATTATTAGGAGAGGAAGCGGTTGATGCCGTTTTAAAAACGCATGAAATGCATATTTAGGTATTTTTTCTAAAAATATGCATATTGAATTTCTTCAGTCCGTCTTTGTGTATTCACGCTTATTTCGCCTAGATTCTGTGGTGAAAAAATATATATCTATATTTCTTTATGAGCAACAATTAGCATTTTCCTGCAGTCATCTGCTGTGACAAGAACAGACCTACTATGCTCAGCAGGGCCCAAGGTGATATGTCATTAGCACCAAGCAGCATGGCATGTACTTCATGATGCGAACCGAAGGGGTCATTTTAGAAAGTTGAGGATTATGAATTGATGATCGGTATCTGATATGAGCTCTATTCCTACTTCCATTCCTGTTCATTCGTATTTTCATTCATGAATCCAATTCACTTTTTATTTTCTTATGCTGAATTGTGTCCATGGGAGACCATTCGTTTTATTTTTCTGATGCAGATTTTCTTCACCGTCCTCTACCTGGTGATTGCTTACTTCATGACATCGCAGCCGTTCTTCACGGATCGTATCCTGAAGTACTTCGCCGTGAATGCTTTTGTGTCGCTCATTTCACAAACCGTGGGACTCATCATTGGTACTGTGTTCAGAATTCAGGTCAGTCCAGCTACAACTCCTTCACAAGATGTCTAGAATGCTCTGGTCATTGGCAGGGATTTTATCTGAGGGTATTGGAAGAGAGCAGTCCTCTTCTCTTGTTTTTGCTCCTGTACATCTTATAGCTGTTAGGTATTTCTATATTTCCGCATGTGAGCGGCTCGAGTCAGGGATACGCTTGTCTCCTATGGCTGGTATTCCAGGTTAAAAACCAACAATGTGGGGCATTTCTTCCCACTGCATGCTCCTCCGTGTTTGGGAAAGAGATCCTTGTGCCCGAAGCTTACCCATAGATATGGGATGTTAGTCCAGAAACTCCATTTGTTGAAGGCTGAAGACAGAACGCGTATCCCCAAAGTTTGGAAGAAATTGAGTCTTTCATGGCCTAATGAGTCAAGTTTTGGTGGTAGATGGAGTTACGATGGGATGATGTGTAGATAAGGGGGAGTGTTATCTGGAATTACCAGTGCAAAAGGGACTTTAGTGTGGCCTTGAGCTCCATGCACCTGTTGTATCTTGGCGAAGTTTATAATATGAAGGCGTGTTTCTCTTTTGACATTTCAGATGGCCGTATTCGTAGGTTCGGTGAGCTTGGCCCCGTTGCTCCTCCTCTCCGGGTGTTTACTCAGTGTAGAGTCGATGCCACAGTACATACAATGGCTCTCGTATTTCTCGTTCGTGAAATACTCCTTCGAGGGGTCCATATTCAGCATCTATAGTTTCGACCGGGAGGACCTCAAGTGCGCAGAACCGTATTGTCTCTTCAAGAAACCACGTATGTTCCTCGCTCAGATGGACCTCGAAAACAACATCTTCTGGAATGATCTCTGGATCCTTATTGGCATACTGTTCGCCTTTCGACTTGCTGGCTACTTCCTGCTTCGATGGAGAGTAACTAAACTCCAATAGTACCTGTCTGCCAAAATCTATGCCATGTTCTTCTACAGCGGGGGTTTCGTCCTGTGGTTGAGATTTTCAAAATCGGAGCCAGTTCCAGTTTTAGCCGTCCACTCTTTAAAAGAGCTCTGGCCTTAGTCCGCCCGTCCTTGGTCCGTCCTGAGAAGAGATAAATTGAGCCAAGATTTTCAGGTTTATGCTGGCTGGTGCTAGACCCTGGCCCGGCTGCAGTTCTTTCTCTTTCAGCTTCACCTTGACTGGTTCGACAAAACAAAAAACGTTCCAAATAAATATTATAAATCCACTAAGATGAAATAGGGGAAACTAGTACAAGAGAAAATCGAGGTGTCCTTCCTATCTGTCAAATGATTTTCTAGAGTTGTGTATCATGACCAGAATACCAAAATGCCTGGAGTGTATGTAACTTTTCTGAAGATTGGGGGGGGGGGGGGTTAAATAAAAATACATTAAGAAATAGAAGTTGTGCTAAGGCCTACTTTAGCACCAAGTGGAGCCGATCTTATTGAGCCACCTGCAGACTATGTGGACCGCTCGGTCGCCTCATCTCTAGACCAGAGAACCAAGATTATGAACAATCAAAACCAGGACTTATTCAGGCACCTTTTCCAGTCAGATATGTACTTTTGTTTCTATCTGGTCCAACTATCTTTTCTTTAGTATTTTAACTCTTCGTCCATTTTGCGCAGTGGATCGCATGCAACATAGTGTTGCTCCCGGTGTCAGGCAGCAAAGCATAGGGCTGTGATATGCCAGTACTAGGGGGGGAGATGGAAAAACAAGCTCTTTCCTTTTCACTCTTTGAATAGGAAAGAGCTTTTCCATGGAAAAGAATATTTAAATGGAATATTTAAAAAAATGTTATTCTGCTTTGCTTGTGCTATTATATAATATTCAGTCTTGTTTACATTATATCCTTGGATCTGGATGGATTTTTAAAGTCCATCATGATACCCATGATCCATGAATATGTTGCTTCCCATATATTGGAAGAAGAATAAATGAGAGTAAATGGAAGTTTTGTCACTCTGGCTTACCTTGAAATGAACAGTAGTTGGTGGGTGATGACCAACCGTCGATGTCACATGTAGAACTTACAACTTAAGAACTTCCTTGAGTTGAAGGGCTACACACGGATGCGCGTTTAAAAGTGTGTGCATGCGTTCATGAGTGCCAGAAGGAAGGCAAATTCAAATCATTACCCCTGGATGAGGGAGAAGATGGAACGAATACTTCGAGAGAAATATGAATGCGTTGAAAATTAATTGAAGAAAGAAATGAATGAAGATTTGGGCGATCAGGACACTTCAACCATATTACCCATTAACCAAGTAGATGCCTGCAATTAGGCTTGGTAATTTTTTCCTTATTTACTGTGCGGTCGAGTTAAAATGATACGGTAGCAAGTATTAAGCCCATTCTGATAACTCTAAAGGATTGCTGATTCAGATCTATCCGCCTCTCTTGGACTCTCTTGAATAATATTATTAACGTCAAGTGAAGCGTCACAGGAGATAAATCTCGAGAAGATAACTCAGCTAGTGAGGTATATTCTAATAGAAAACATGCTAATCCTCTGAATAAATGAGCTTTGAAACGTTTTCTTTCACCAAGGCATTGAAGTGCAGCGAGTCTCTGTGCTTCAGCTGAGAAGCATCCCCCAGCATTCTATAATGCAACTTTCCCAGCTGAGTAGTGATGATTAGGTCTGAGGTTTTAGTATCACGGTCAACGCCATGTCATTCAAGTCGTAATTACTCGATTCACCTACGACATAGAGGCGTCCACATTCGTTGACGAGGCCGAAAAAGGACAAACAGTTACGAAGGCTTTTAACGCTCAGTCCAGCCTTATAGAATATTTTCGGGCAGCTGGATGCCATTTTGACAAAAATAATACGTCGAAAATGGAGAGACAAAAGGATTTTCCTTCCCGGGAGAAGACAATAATAGAAGGGAGAGACAACGAAAGGAAGGAGCTCCTTGATTGAGAAAGAACATAGAATCGGGATTCTCCAGAAGTCGTGTGGTGGAAAACTTGGGAGTTTCCACTACGTTTTTCAGTACTGGGAGGATACCCGATTCCAGCGACGGAGAGATATTGACAGGAATCCTCTAGGTTCTAGTCGTAATTCAATGATTAGTGGGAACATTTGCATTAGCAAAAATTATTCAGGAAGTCCTCGGCATTACACAGTCAGCCAAATCTGTCTCGCTGGGAACCAATTCAAGATAGTATCACACGGGTACGAAAAACAACAATTTTCATAGGTTTGATGTGTTTATGAAGAGTCAAGATCCTTTGTACAAAGATGAATGCAACAAATGCAATAGAAGTAGCGGATACCGAAAAAGCACCAAGACCAAAATTTCCTTGATCTTGTCATTGGCGAAGGAAGATGTCACACTTGGATAGACCAGGGTTCGAAGGTTCCTGGTTCCTCTCCCTCAAACTGCGAGAGAAAATGGATGAATGCAATCACGGAAAGCAAGATAGCAACAGATCGTTACAATATTAGCAGAGGGAGAAACAACAAAATGAGCAATTAGGGTCAGAGCTGACGAAACCATTTGTCCATGTTGCTTCCATATTGTGCAATTTTGCAAAGAAAATGCTTCTTCCTGGGAGGAAGTCTCAATAATGTAGACAATGTTTACCTTGTGACCTCAACCGACCTTGCTTTCTCTTCTTCTTGGAGCTAATATTAAATCTATTTAATGCCACCGATGAGTCTCTTTAAACTGCCAGTGTCTTTTCCCTCAAAATCCCAACTTACGCGAATACCTGGTTCACGTCAGCGACCTCGACTTTCACAGTGTTTTTCACTTGGGTCAGATAATTTTTCACTTGACTGGGACGCTCGTGCATGGGACGTTTCTCGAGCGTTCTGTCGAAGTCAATTGAAAAAAGTCTGACCAAATGAAAAACAACCAGTTTTCAATCACGTGCCTTTATATTGCCTACAAAGTTGTGCGCTTCAATTCAGGGTTCACTTTCGACTTAATTGGTTGTGATATCATGGGCGAAGGTTGTGATGGCATGAGCGATGGAGAGGAATGAACTTAGCTTGCTTTAAGTAAGTAACTCTGGAATGTTACAGTAGAATCGAGGAAATTAGATTCTTTCTAATCGTGAAAGAAGAAAAAAAAACTAATTGCAAGGCTATTCATTAATCACGGACAAATGAAAACTCATGGCCTTTTTCGACCAAACATCAGTTCCATGAGCGTGAAAACAACTAGTCTCCCACGCAGATATGTAATCAACGACAGACGTAGAATCGGCAAGCAATTTTCTCCCTGTTAGCTTTGGTCATCTAAGCCAACGATAAAAAAGGAAATATTATTTCTAATCTACACTGAAAATAAAAAAATCATAGGGACATTCTCCGAGTGGTATCAATCTAAAGGGGAAGAGAAGTTCTTAGATGATACAAAATTGGCCCTAATACCTTAAAAGACGATGAACCCTTAAAAACAAGTGCACTCGGAAAGGACTTTCGCTGAGATCAGTTATTTTGTAGAGACGGACCTTGTCTGTGAATTTATCTTGGCAGGCCATCCGGATCCTTTCGGCTGTGGCTGGGGTATCAAATTTGAACATTCTTGACAGATTCCTTTCTTGTCTGGCAGCAGAAACTGCTTCCTTGATGGCGAAGAACACGCTGGCTGACAGGAAGAGGGGAGGCTCTCCGATTGCCTGCACAACACGCATAACGATCTCTACAGTTAAGACTTACTTCCAGAGACTGGGGGGTGGGGGGAAGGCGGGATGAACTTACCTTGGAGGAATAGACGGCGCGGATGTTGGGGCTTCCTTTGAGCAGGGAGACGTTGAATTCCTCGGGGATGTCCCCAAACCCAGGGATCTTATAGGTGGAAGGTCCTTGGGTCAAGACCTTGCCTTTAGGTGAGAATAGCACCTCCTCCAGGACAAACAACCCGTATCCTTGAATAAAGGCCCCTTCCACTTGCCCAATGTCTATGGCCGGGTTCAGGCTCTCCCCCACATCCATCACGATGTCTGTCCTCAGTATCTGTTTCATGCTGGTGAGTCTCATTTGATCTTTAACCGATGCACAATACTTCCTTTTTATTTTATTACCTTGTGGTCGCCGGTGAGGCAATCGATCTCCACTTCCGAGCAGGCTGTTCCATAAGAGATGTACGAAAAGTTGTCACCTTTCTTCCAGTCGCTTCCTAATCCTGGAGTTCTGGATAAAGAAATTACACCATACTGTAATAGTGTGGAAATAACAGGGGAGTTTCTTGCGCCATCCAGACACCTAGCGGCATCCAGATTGAGCCAGTATCAATTAGTTGTAAATAAATTTGGGTATCTTTCATTACAGGCCCACATTAATTTTCGGCTACTGGAATAACGTAATCTTTCTGTGAGGAAAGTGGCTTCTGATGCGCCATCACCTCTTCGGAATTCGCAATGGAATATGTCTAATTAGATTTTCCAACTTTTCAAAAATTCCACGACCTTCCGATGTTTCTCCACGGCGACCATGATGATAAAAGCCAACGAATGGCACTTTCCATGCCATTCGTCTGTTGCCGTTCCAATGGTCCACACTGAAAACTGGACGAGACAGATTCCGAGGGAAATTTCAAATGTCAGCATTTTTCATGTCGTCAAGAGTACATTCACAGGGCTGAATGATTAAGCTCTCCGAGGATATATAAATTCGCTGCAAGGTGTTCTAAGGCTGGAAAATTCGTTCATAAAGAGAGTTGCAAGACTTTGGAAGAGTTGATTATCATAGTAACATCATAGGGAATGGTTGAATAGAGGTTTTGAAATATGAAGAATCAGGATAAATAACTAGGCAATTTTGCACTGAGGAAAATGATTGCAATAAATGAACTTCAGAACGCCAATGATATTGCTTGCTTCTTTTTACAGTTGGATTTCCTCAGTGTATGACCAAATTTAATATCCAGGGAAAATCACCCGCCTATATGTACCTGTGCAAGGAAGACTGTTAAATATCCATTGACAGGATGATTAGCTTACTTAACGAACAGTTGAGACATAGAGGGAAAATGAAAACGGAAACCACAAAAAAACAGTATGAGGCAAAAAAAACTCGCATAACCTCAAGGTTTTCAAATGTACTGGACGAAGTTGGAGCAGGAAGTGAAATCACTTCCAACTCCAAGGCATTCTAAATAGACCTATATGCATGAAAAAGGACGAGAGGGAAAGACAGCAAGAGGAAGAGGAACTGACCGATAATATCCAGTGGCAGAGAGGCTGACCCGGTTGAAGTAGGCGGCCTTCACCCAGTCCTCCCAGCTTCCTTTCGGGTTTTCCCTCATGAAGGGCTCCAGCCTTTGCTTCAGCGTCTCGCATGCGTCCTAAGCGGTACACCAACAGTCCTATCGTATTCTCCATTCAAATCATTTACAGTGAAGATGAAAACTAGGAAGACATACGATGACGGCTGGTCCATTGAGGTCGGATCCCATGGAGGCTCCCGTGCCTATGGCGTTGGGCACCAAGTCCGTGGAATTTTCGGTCGTGTGGAAATATGAGATCGGCAGACACAACGCTCGGCTTGCTACCTATATCGCAGGGATCGCAGGGAAATTGCAACTTGATGAAATCTCTTCATAATTACATTTATTGCATAGTTGGAAAAATTGGCATTAATTGCGTTCCAAACTTCTTCCAGTCGTCGACAATGTTTTTGCTACCATAAATGTGCATCCGATCGTCTCGATCGAGTTGATAAAAGGATTGAAGGGATTCGGCCGAACCTGGAGCATTTTGGTGTGGAGTCCCTGTCCCATCTCCACGCCGCCGTGGCTGACAAGGACGGATCCATCGGTGTAGATGTGAACCAACGCTGATGCTTGGTTCATGAATTGCACCACGAAGGCGCATCTGAAGGCAACAGGGATCACAGCAATCCCTCTCTTCTTCCATCGATTCTCTCTAAGATTGAATCAGGATTCCACATTAGATCGTTTTCCAGAAACATCCGCTTTGAAGAAGACGACTTGTCAACCTGTTGAACTTGTTGGCGAGTTCTCGTCGATATAAGAAATCTGAATTCCGGAGACATTCCTCCCAGCATCGTCGAATGGTGCAGTGAGTGAGGTAGTTGAACAGGTGGGTCTGGTCACCGTCCTTGAACAAGTTCCTCTCTCGCACCTATGATACACACAAAATGGGAAAACTCATGGACTTTTCTTCTCGCGTCTAAATAATTGTAATTACAATCTGATTTAAGGGAAGAAATATCATTATCATGATGTATTGGCATCCCGAACCAATGGATCCCAACATCTGCTTTGTTATAGAGATATGTTCGAGAGTTAAAAGAATTTCTCCATTCAGTGAAGAGATCAACGCCTTTGTAACGAGGAAAAGATTGTGTGCAAACGTGAGCGACACACAGGGTAGCAAAGAATTTGAAAGTGTTCTAGAATGAAAAAGGAGAGCCCTGAAACGCAGAAGTTCCCTGCGAGACGTAAGCAGTAGACAACACTGCAGCAGACCTTATCGGTCGTCCTCTCAAATAAGCAGCAAGTCTACACCATTTAGTGGCAGATCAAAGGCGAATCGAAAATCACAAGGCAGCAGTTCAATCGAGTAATACCTGACGGTGGAAATCGGGCATCATCACTCCATATCGGTATATCTTTCTCATTTTATTTTTGCAAGTAAATGAAAATACATCATTTTTCACTCTAACCTGAACAGGGTCTAGGTGTAGGAATTCTGCGACGTCTTGCATCCACTGTTCACATATCATCATGGCTTGCGGTGCCCCGAACGCCCGGAAAGCCGTGTTCGAAGAAATGTTTGTCCTGCACACGTAGCCTTTGGATCGGACATTTGGAACGTAGTAGGCGTTCGTCACGTTGGACATGGCTCGCTGCATCACCTTTTAATACGAAAAGAATGAAGAATAAACGGAGTGCGGAGCGATCGAGAAGTCATGCAATATCGCTGTCAACAGATTGAAGGTGCTACGTTGTTTGCACCGATGAGGAGCCCTATAACAGCAGGAAAGGTCACTTAAGAATGCATCCGGTTCTCAGAAACAACGATCTGCCCGCATAGTGCCGATTGAATATTTAGACAGAAAGTAAAAAATCAAAAGGAAAGCATTCTTATTCTAGTCTAGTTTATGAATATGAAGAATACTGAAGGTCACACGAGAGGAAGAAAAAGTATATAAATCCTGTTCTAACGGCCAAATGGGCTTTCATCAAGACTTAGGCGTGTCGAATGGAGACAACTGACCACGCATTTTCATGGTCACTGATAACTCTTCCACTTTTCTTCTTTAATCGAATCTTAGAGCTTGTCTTTGACGAACCAAATCCGATGGGCCTTTCCAAAGGGAATTATCCAATGGCGGCACATTAGCTGATTCGGAAACCGTTGGCAATTGGTTAGAGATCGAGTTTCAGCAAATCTTCCAGGGCAAAACGTTCTTGGTACATTCTTACCCCAGATTGAAACTTCATAGGCTTTCAGGAGGCACCTTAATGGCTAGATAGGAACATGCGCCATAATGTAATCATAATGTAATCAGGGGCAGCATTGCACAACTCTCTTCTGTTTGGACTTTGAAAACAAGCAATAAACATGCGAATCGAAAGCGAGTTTCATTGACGATTCGACACTCACCCCATGGGAAATGTCGAGGCTGTATCCGGCATTGGCGTACATGGCGAGGTCGAGGGCAAGTATCTTTCCATCAGAAGTGAATCCGACCTTGTACCTGCCCAGGAAAGGATTCCGTCCACCCATAGACATCATGTCCTCGTCTCTGTCGAGGACGCACCGCACCGACCGCCCGAACCTATTCCACGCATCCCTCATGATCTATCAACTGCGTTTGCATCGCGGTGCATGCGACGAGGCACGCGAGAGAACGAGACAGACTTTCGGGCAGCGACAGCGGCGGGAATGACGAAGAGCATGGGTCGGGTCACTTTCCCTCCGAATCCACCGCCAACTCTCTTCACTTTGCACGTCACTCGGTTAAATGGAATGCCCATGGCTTTTGCCACGGATTTTTGTGCAAACGACAATTCCTGCAACAATTGTGAGAAGGAACGAGCAGAAGAAATCACGAATAGCCATCAGACACTCTGTACCCTCCAAAAACCCAACGGTATTTTATACTGAATTAAATACCACACATTTTTCATGAGAGTAACTAGCTAATTTAAACATCATTTTAGCCGCTTATTTATATTTCTTACTTTCCTCTACTCATTTAGCCTCAATTCGTCAGGGAAAAGTAAAACATTTATGGATTTGACATACCTGGGTGGAGACGTAGATGAGAAGTTCATCATGCTCCAGTTGCGGTGTGACTACGCAAGCCTGGGGTTCCAAGTAGAAGTGTTCCTGACCTCCAACTCTGACCTGGCCTTCGAGAACGTGAGGGGCCTGGGACAGAGCCTCATCCACGTCCCCGAGCTCAGTCCAGTCCTCCCAATAGAACTCTCGCTCCTTGATCGCCTCCTGTCCCGACGCCAAGCCCAGACGGTATGAATCATCCGAAGGAATTCACGAATTACCTTAAACTTAAGATATAAGTTAAAATACTGAATGGATGCTGAGAATTCCGATGACGTCCATTCATGCTATCAATCGAAGGATGGTCGCACTCACAGAGGTCAACGCAGAGGAAATATAGCAAAACCGGAGAATCGATCAGTGAATCTCTCATAGTGGGGACTTCCAGGAAAATCATGTAAATTATTACATCCCAAGTTTGACTACCCCGAATTTTATTATGAACATACAGTCACTCGAAAACTGTCACTGCACAACCTTGCCAACTATGTAATATGTAAATACTCAAATATCCGATTTGTTACAATTAGGCTAATCTTAGTTCTCGTCCCCACAAAAAAAATGAAGAGCTGTCGTTATCAACGTGTTCTCCTGTCGCAAGCACATATGCCAGAAAGTTATATGTAGTAGAGAACGGATTTAACCGTTTTCGTGATTTGCCCGTGCTTCTCTTAGGCATCGTTTACTTGCCGACATTTTTTTCCCGAGACACTCTCGGGCGGTGCAGATACACAGTTCATGCAGAAATGCAACCTCAGAGTGCAAAATGTCCGACGGATATCTGAAAGTGCCAGGAGGTCAAAGGTCATGGAAAATCAGCAGGTGTCGAGGAAATCGTTATTATACATTTTCGAAAAAAAGAGCCGACATTGAAGCGGCTAAGTATCTTATCCACAGTATTGGGGTGTAATTAAGTAAACCCACTTATATTTTCAATTGTATTTATCATATTTTCTTGGAACTCGAATGGGAACGAATTACATATCACGCCCGGCAAATAGGAGGAAGTGTTCCTTTTTATGGGAGGGAGTTCTCGGTTTTCACGATAGCACGCGACAGTTGCACAACACTATTCAGCAGACAACACGATGTGAAATTAGTAAGACTTTCAGGCGAGGTCAAGTTCGACAAGATATATTGGAAATAAAGGTTGTGCCAAAAACTCCTATCCGAAGTTTCACACTAAATACGAAATATTCAAAATGCAAAAGTGAAACATATGACATATTATCTGAATACCTATTTCAAGATCTCTCAGTGGAATTGATTCTTTGGAATTTCAAACCACCACAAAATTACGAGTATCCTAAAGCACCGTGAATAATGGCACTGAAGTATAATAACCCTGGAGCATAATGATACTCATGAAAAATAACACGATCGTACTGCGTGTCGGGCCTGCGTGTGGTAGAATATTACTGTTTATGAAAATCATTCAATTATTTTTCCATAAGAGGAGAAGCAAATGAATTAGTTGCCTTAGGTAAGTACCAAGATAGTGATCGCACATAACTCTCAGGGGAGAACTTCGCTTGTGCAAGAAGGATGGAAAGTGGGAAAAGGGATGTCCAGCAGGCGCACGTGCACCCACCAATTCTGGAAACTTGCAAATTAAATGGATTGTAAATCGATCACTTTCCAATGACAGACAGCATTTATACAGGCAATTAAATGCAGGAGTAACTTGCAACAATGCCCCTTATCAGTTGCCAGTTGTTGGGTGCTCGTGTAGCTGGAGGGACCAATAAAATCCGAGTACCTCAACGCTAAATATTCTGGGCTGCAAGTCTTCATATTCGACCCGGACAGCTTTGGCAGCGATTTTTGCAGCCTCTCTCGTCTCCGCCACGATTCCTCCGATGACTTGACCCACACTCGTTACCTTTTTGCCGTCAAGAAAAATAGGTACGTATTAATGTACGTGTGAAAAATTGCAGACACGTGCACATTTCATCGGACGTTAGCGTGGCAAGAAATATCCTCCCCAGGTTTCATACCTTGTCTCGTCTGAAGACGGGTTCGCCTTCGGGATCATCTCCAAAGCAATTCTTGGTCCCAGGGAGATCTTCCGGTCCCACCCACCCGATGACACCCTTGATGCCAAGAGCAGAGTTAGGATCCACGAGGAGCAATTTTGCGTGGCACCGGCTGCTGTAGACGAGAGCGAGATGCGCTTCATTGTCCCGTGGTGGCATGTCATCCAAGTACTGGGCTTCTCCTGTCGCCTGATGGTACGCGGACTTTGCCACCAACGGCCTCCCCACTGCGTCCCATTTTGGTTGTCCTCCTGGCACCTGCACACCAGTCACATTCACGTTTACTCGACTCATGTGTCAGCTGCACAGTCGTATAAAGTATTTGGAAGTATAGCTCACTATTTGGAAGAACTGAGAGGCCATGGGAAAGTCTTTTTGATACCGTCCCAACACACTTGCTGTTCCAGGAGGCAGTTTCAGGCCCAGATGGCGACAACCTTCCAGCCAAAACTTGTAAAAGAAGCTGATGCAGGAAGAATGAGAATTGATCGCCTTGAACTCAGGATGAGACGGAGAGGCACAAAGGTTACGAAGAGAAACATGCCTTAGAGTGAGACTCCGTCGATAACGGGTCATCCCTCCAGGAGCGCCTGGGTCCAAAGGCAAGTCTTCCTTCAGCAGATCCAACGCTTCCTCCAGCAAATCTTCATTCCATTCCCTAAATTCAACGGGAATACCGACCTTACCACCCCGTATTATTTCTTCTTTAAACTGTGGAAACTCGAGACTGCACATACTTTCCGATGAGGCCGTTTCTGGTTCGCGTGGCCATGACAGTAGTGGGTGCCATTCCGCCAAAGGATAGGCGGATATCTTTGACCTTTTTCGACCCAGATTGGAATCGAACAAACATTCCAGCATTGACGATGGCGATATCGTCCTCTCTTCGCCGAGCCTGTTTATATCCCTTGAATACTTCGTCAGGGGACGAGGTTGGAATCTCGATCCATAGCAGTATCTCCTCCGGTCGGATGATGTTCCTCCGGTATCCCGTGAAGAAGTCTTCATTCATTTTCACCTCCCTTCCACCCTCTAAATTTCCACAAAGTACCAGCTGATCGTGAAGGTAACATAGGGGGGGGGGGGGGGGGGGAAATAAGAAAAAAAAAAACATAATTGTAATCAACGCAATTCTTAAGACAAGGAATGAAGGAAGTAAGGGAGGAAGGAAATGTTTAGTCTTTCCATAGGTAATACTTTCATTGCTATGCAACGCGCTCTCTATTGCGAGGGGTGACATCGCAGCAAAGATGACATGAAATTTCTAATAATGTACAAAATCTCGTCGTGACTCGGGGTACCGAGCAAACCAGGAACAAGGTAATATCTCTTCAATTTCTTCAAAGGGCTACTATAAAAAAATTTTTTTGTTTGGAATGAAATCTTGGACGTTATCCGGTCAGATTCTGATTTGGTAGCGACTGCAGAGCTGCCTCTGCTCACGCAGGTGAAATTTCCAGATCCTCAGGATAAAACATCTATCCACTTACATGTATTATCGCGTGAATTTAAACTCTGGGGAATACACATAGTATCGCAAAAACTGTGCTTAGCATTCAGAAAAAAAACTATTATATGAATGAATAGACCTGCGACAAATATAAAATAGCATAACATAATGTCTTACACCGTTCTGTGCATAATGCAAATAACGAAGAGCAAATAACGCGATCAACTTCTGCAAGAGTAAACCTGAATTTCTACAGGTAAAATGGTTCAAATAAGCAGAGTAAAACTGAACCATTTGCAAACTTCATGCTATTCGATTCCTCTGTGCAACAAAATGTCCATTTTCAGCGAAAGAAACATTCAAAGTAATTTCAACCTTATTGAGCAGATTTATTTTTTCTAGTGACACTGAAGATAAATTTTTATTGCACATTGCAACTACGATCATGGGTTGCCATTTTAATAGGATGACCATACATGGATCATCAAACGGCGCAAGTATTTTGTTAACTGGATTACGTTAATATCTCAAGGTAGATACTTAGCGTTAGGTACGTTTTTAACACCCTTAAGGAAACAAATTTTGAGAGATTCATAACGATGTCCATCTGAAAAGCACTAATACCTGAACTCTGGAGGAAGATGCGAGACTGGACAGCTTGAAAGAGGGGATTGAGGTCGGAGATGGGACTGCTGGTCACGACGTTCCCGGCCACAGATGAAACATTCCGAGTCTGTCGACCCGCGAACCACCGTAGCATCTCCACTACCTCCACCCACACCTTCGTCTCCTTTTCTAGAGGCATACCACTACATGTAACCCACTTATGTTAAAAGATACTCCATAAGGGAATGCTTGAGAAAGTCTCACCTGGTCGAGAGTCGATTTCCTTCTGAAGAGTTTTCTGGATCTTGGTTAAAGTCACGGATCCTCCAAATCTAACCCTGTTATCCCCAACCTTCACTTGATGCAGTTCTTGTACTGCTGTAGGACTGATCATCACGGGATACTTGCAATCCTTGAACTTGATCTCTAGAGCTAATGGAAGGAACATACCTTCCTGTATCATGCAGTTAAACACGCTGTCGATTATTTTTTTATTATTAGCACTTACCGACTTCCGTATTGCCATGAACTATCCTGGCCTCTGGAAAAGCGGCTTTCAATCTTAGCATTTCGTCCAAGGATGCTGGTCGATACCATGTCACGCGGGATCCTTTGAATACGAGGCTGTCAACCTCGTACTTATGATTCAGCTTTTGTTCGAAAAGAGATTTCCAGATGAATGCAAGTTCTCATGTACATAAAACTTCTTGCTAAATATTTAATCCGTTTGATTGAAACCTGCCTGAAGTTCGGGAGGGAAAATGGGTTCTTGAGTAGGATCGTAAGGGACGAGGTGACTCGGTTGAACGAGTCGAGGATGCTCCTCCTCCTCCGGTGTCGTGGTGTCAGCGCTATTCATACATGGGCATTCTCCTCCATTCTCGCCTTTGCAGCATTGGAACTCTGACGTGAAGGTCTTGAGCCCTTCGATGATGGGTCTATAGCCCGTGCACCGGCAAAGGTTTCCTACGAGAATTTGGAATATTTATTAATTCATTTATTAATTAATTTTAGACAGAAACATCATTTGCGAATGAACAATACAAATGGAAAAATCAAATGTATAAGCCTATATGTTTATGTATAAACTAAAGATTGTATAAACTAATACGTATATACAATAAAATTTAATGGCAAAGCATTTTAAATGCTGATGTTTAGGCATTTTTTCTTTGAAAAAGATTAATGTAACCAGTTGGGAGGGGGGAGGGAGAGAGAATTAGAAATCGAAGGAACCTTGCATATATTCGTCCATGTCATGAAAAGAGGGCTTCGGATTGTTTCTCAACAGGGTATACATGGACATGACGATGCCCGGTGTGCAGAATCCGCATTGAGACCCATGGAAATTGGCCAGTCTTTCTTGGACGGCGTGGAGTCCCCGTCTGGAGTTGCCGATCCCCTCCACGGTCGTGACGGCCAATCCGTGACATCCCGCAACCGGCATCAGGCATGCGTTCACTGAATAGTGACTGCAAATTTCCCAGGTCTCCAATCAAGTATAGCCCATGAAGCCCTCCCGTTTCTTCGTGTGGAAAAATCTCTGTTTTTATTTAGCTAAAATGTTTGTTTTTAATTAGAATGAATTAAATATGGAGCTGGATATAACTGACCAACAGGATTGTTTTCTGAAATAAAATGAAGAAAATATAAAACGAGCAGAAAGGAAGATTCACAAAGGCGCGTGAACCCTTTGAGGATTCCTCAAAAAGACATGATTGAAACCAAAGCAAAAGCAAGTCTTTCACAGTTTTAGTTCATTGTATTGATGGCATTTTTATTTGAAACTTAGGAAAGCTTCCGCATATCTACTTAAAGCAACGCCCACCATCGGGAAATGTCAACCATCTTACCTCACGGTTTTGTAGGGAACCATATTGAATTCCCGTTATAATGGCAACGAAAAATATGGTGCGCAGGGTAAAACAAAGGGAAAACATGGGAAAACACTGAAAATCTTGAGGCTTCAGGTCGAATAACTCAGATCTTTAAGGACTGCTATTTCCTATGCTGCAACGCTCTTTCATTTTGGATTCTGCACCTGAGATTGAGAATCGTTATGAGCGCTACTTTCTCAATGCTCTATGGTCCCGCAGTAGCACATAACATTGAATCGACATAGAATAAGCATTGAATCAGCGTCCGGACGTTGAATCAGCATTTAATCAATGTTGATTCAATGTTTTGTGTGGCTGGGTTGTTGTTTATTATCCTCTGATAAACCCCATACCTCACTGCCCTGGGAGTTTAACCTTAGAACTGTCGATAAAATCGACGTTGGTAGGCCGCCGTACTGCTTCTGGCAGTTCTGGGGTCAAAACACGAAGACTTAGGTAGTGACATTATGCAGATCATGAGAATCGACCATGGCCGATCCTCCTGATGCTCCAGGAGGTGATTCTCGACCCACTCCCGCTTCGATAAATCCATTCGACAATCGGCCAACAAAAGTAGAAAGTATGAGGAAGAACAGACGAGGAGAACCTGATGGATCTCGTGGAATGATGGAATCTGGAGAGCATGACGGTGCAGGCGCCGCATCCACCTTCTCCGCACCCGGATTTCGTGCCTCGGAGCCCCACTGCCTCGTCCCAACGCGGGTGGCATGTCAAGGTCAATCGTCAACTTATACATGTGGCCTTCAAGGTTGCCTCATTCAAATCAACCATGGGGGGGGGGCCGTAAGTTTGACGTTTTCGGAGTATCACCAGATTAATTTACATGTAGCAGAAAGCGGCAGAAATGTCAAAATAAGCCTGACGGGAAAACCAGTCGTAGATGTGATGCAGTTCTTTTAAGAGGATACGCCCTACAGAGGACGCACTGAATCTCCTTTTGTAAGAATACGAAGGACCCTTCTCTACAAGATAAATTACTCTCATCAAGCGGCACTGGAGCATCGTCTGCGCGAGGGGCGCATCGGGGGTTCTTTTGAAACCTCGATAGGCACGGATTTCTGAAGGACTACAGTCATTAAGAGATTCATATACTTTTTGACGTGGGTGACAGTGTAAAATGTAAATTGGCTTTAATTGTATTTCGTCGATATTTCTATCATTGTCGCCAAGAGAGGGGGGGACAAAGCAATAAACTACTGTCGGCACGCAGTAATTCACGCTGCAATTTATCTAGGATGTTTCAGGCTAGTCTTTCTCGTTGCAATTCGGAGACTTATCGAAATAGAACATGAAGTGGGGGGTATGGGGACATTTTGTCGCTCACAGCAACGAGACACGCAAAAAATAATGTTCACACAATCCAAGTTCCGTTTTTCACTCAGTCTTCCTCTATTCGTCGATTTAATAAATGTCTTCGGTATTTAACTCTTTTACTGCGGTGGTCGACTTTTTTCACACAGCCGGAAGCCTAAGGAGGGCTTCCATATCCCATATCGATTCTAGTACACAGTCACGCATCACCAGTCTTCAGTTTGCACGTATCGCCTAATGGGTGATGCGTGCAGAGTGTATGCACAAACTCAAGCATCTAATAATATGTATTGTATTGAGAAGGGGGCATTCAAGGTAATTGTAATTTTGGCCAACATTGAAGACCGAACGCGAGACGGTGCTTAGAATTCACAAAGAAAAGGATACGCTTCCTCCTGAGGTACTCCAATAGGCTGAGCTCAGGTTCAAAATCATCGTCCTCGACCTAAAGGCAGACGAAAATCGTGAACGCCTCGGATACCTTCCCAAGAGAATCTCATCGCAGATGGACTCACCCTGACTCCATTGACGTAAAAGATGAGAGCACTCCCGGCCGCGTTCGGCATGTTCCGTGCGGAGAACAGGATCGCAGCACAGTTAGAAGTAGACTGGATGGAGCAGGGTTGCCAGGGGGAAGGGATAGAAGGGATGCTGAAACTCATCTTCCGATCACCCGTTCGTGGAGTCGAGTGGATGCCAAGGACGAGGCCGTGGATGCTCCTCCTCCAGGGTTACAGACCCTCGGGGACACGAACCTCGCTGATCGGACTCCATCACCCTTTTCTCCTTCGCTCTCCCCGGTTGGAAAACAAGTATCGGGTGCCTTTGAAATTAAATCCTGTTCGACGCAACAGGCATGGGTATAAGAGTGGCGCTAGCCTGCATTTCGGATTACGTAACCACACCTCTTATGCCGCAAACAGCCCCTTTCAGTTGCTTATTTCACGTACAAATGCAATATTCGTGTTCACTTCATATGAGGCAATTCCGCATTTACGTGAGGCAGGCTTGACAAAGATGGTGGTCCCAGTATGCAAATTCACCTAAGAAGCAAGCGTACTTATGCCAGGGAAGACCTAATGAAAAGTCAATTATAACTGAAACAAATAAAAACCAGTCTTATTTCGCTGCTTCAGTCATCAGCGTCCACGACGGTCGGAGCCTCGCACTTCTACGAAGAGCAAGGAGGGAGAGATGAAGTCTCCAGGATCCTCATAGAGCCAGGTTCCCATTATTATCTTTTAGATGCGTGTGCAAGAGTAAATCAAGCTATTGGCATGCTGAGGAAGTCAACGTCACGGCATCTGATGAAATTGGGCACGAGTATTCAAACTTCCTAGTCAATGAGATGAGGCAATGCAGAGAAAACTTGACATGGGAAAGGGGTGGCTCCATTCATGACGCCAATTTCCTTCTCTTTTCAAGCTACTTCGCTCTTGTATCATTGGAGACTGTGATGCCAATCTAAGATGACGTCACTGAAGGCGTTTCGCCAACTTGATTGAGTTTTTCGCGGCGGTTGGTTCATTGGGATACATTAGTGTCGCGTGGAGGGCCTTAAAAATGGACTAATTTACAGATAATAATTTATGGATGATTTAGCTCGAGCGGTGTAGGCTACGGAAATGGGTCCGGCCTCGCTCCACTGTAAGGGGAAAGGCGTCAATATGGCGACAGGTAACAATTGAAAAAACAGTGTTCAACGAAAAGAGACAACAATGATTTAATCTAATTGAAACTATTAAAATAAAAGGATTATTACATGATGTTATCAGAACTTGAATGCCTAAGCGGAGATGACAACCTTGATATAGAAGAAGTTTTGTCGTCGATTGCATTTCAGTAAGCTCTAAATGGCCGGGGAAGCGCACCACAACAATGCAATTCCTCTCAGTGTGAGCCTGGCCTCACACTTGGATGCTTCATGCAAGAGGTTGTCAGTTTACAACTGTAGAGTGCAGAATAACTGTTTTCTCCGACAAATAACGCCTCAGCGTGGAAACAGAGCCAGACTTGAAGGAAGGGGCACGAAGGACTTGAGAGGCGTGGGAACACGTAGGACACACGGACGGAAGACGCGACGGCGTGGCTGGAAGAATCGCGCGCCTCACTGAGACAGTACGTAGACAGCTGCACGGGTACATCCCTGACATGGGCCATAGCTCATGCAGGACCGCGGGACACAACATATCTCTGAGCTTTTACAACTCTACACGCAACATATTCGATTACGTGACATTAGGGTGTTTAGTGCGTTTTCACGCTTACAAAACTCGCTATTTGCCCTACTCCGGGGGAAAACTTTCTTGGCAGTAGAGTGAAATAACCATGGCCGCCCAGAGGGGGAGGGGGGGAGGCGATGGGGACAATATGCCCCGGACCCCGCTTATCAAGGGGTCCCAAGTGGGGCCTCAAAGGGTCTCCGGTTTAGTTTTGCTCCGGGCCCCTGGAAACCTCTGGGTGGCCCTGGATATAACCCCCGCGCTAGTCAACGGTTTTGCGCAACTTTTGGTGCAAAGGCTTCTTCGTAAATGCATATGAGATGTTCGAAAACCCGTTCTTTACGTAAAATCGGCAGGGCGACTGCGTTACCCGTAAAAAATTGTCACCGGTGATTCAACGGTCACTAATGTTGAATTCCTGTTGAATGGATATTGAAAACCGATGATTCAGCAGTGAATCACCATTGGTTTTCTGTTTTCAAATTCAACCTGTTGAACTATTTCTTTGAGGATATTCCGGGCGCCTTATTCCTTGAAAGCGATTTCATGTCTCGCGTAAGTTGTCCTCGATAAATCAATTGCGTAAGTCTTCATTAAATGCCTCCGCTTCCACTGACATTGTGATATCGGTGGGTTTCCCATCAAGCCTAAATATTTATTTATTTGGATTAGGCCCTCTCCTTTTTCGTTGCATCTACTTTCAAAGGAGAAAGAAAAATATATATATTAGGGAAGCAGGCAAAGGGATCTCACATTTTCTTCAAAGGTATCAACTTCCTGCAGCTTACTTCAAGTTGTGGGTCGATGCTGTTGATCGATTGATAAAGTCAGTCGATGTCGGACAGAAAAAGTTTTAGCTAAAGTTTTTGCTTCCTCTCGATTCCCACCGAAACAGGATTAATCGAGAAATTCACCCCAAATACAGGTACGCGAAGATTTCTATATATAGGGAGAATATTTAGCTAAAGATCGCCAGGAGCGAGAGTTTCCTTTCAAGGTCGCTCACCGACTAGAGTGTCAATAAAACGAAGCTCGAGAGAAATACTACCGCCAGACAGATGGAACGAATCCAAATATCTGCCTTGGAGTGGAATAGGATTTTTAAATATTTATTTTACTTACGACTCACGGATCTTGTAATCCTTTTCTACGACGAAACGGAAATGAACGTCTGAAAATAAATGGCAGCCGTCACGGTAGTCCTCACAACGAAAATAAAGCACGAACAGAATGAACGTAGTCGATGGAGTACAGAAGAGCTAACGTGCAGGCCGGCCGGCCCTAATCGATATCCCCCGTGACTGCGATGAAGCGTAGGTGGAGAATGAATGAGTAGAGCCATGCGCGCCAGACGTCAGGTGTCTCTCCGCTGGCTGGAGCGCCAGCGCGCCATGGTGATTGGAGGAGTCGGACAGAACCAAGGAATCGAATCGGTTGAGAGCGTGAGACTGAGATCATATCGCAGGAAAAGTTGTCAGGGCTCTTCCGAGCAATATATGTTACCGTGCTTCGCGTATTAAAGAATGGCATCGCGAAATTCATGTGATAATTGTATTTCATAGTGACGGGAAGGTAATGAGACCAAATACTCGCGTTTCCGTGCATATATATTTGATTATCAAATTCAAAATGAAGGAATCGCCTCTTGATATCACTAACTATCTTGAATCTTGAATGACAAGGTAAAAACATAAAAGAGCAAATGCAAAAAATCACTGATAGGGGCTGACGATGGTCCACACGGAAGTAAAAAAAAGTGTCAAACTTGAATGGACCAAGGCTTGAAAGTTCCCGGTTCCTCTTCTTCGAACTAACGAAAAAAGGAAATGATGGAGGTTAGTAACACGTAGGCCGGAAAAATGGGAAAAAATAAAAAAATGAGTATGTCTATGAAAACCCAGATAGAAAGAAGATGAACAGGTCGATGATAAGGAAATAGATGAAGATTAGGTAATGGAGTGAAAACTCCATAGCTGCAACACACCTTGTCTGTGAAATTATCCTGGCAGGCCATCCGAATCCTTTCGGCCGTGGCGGGGGAGTCCAGTTTGAAAATCCTCGACAAGTTCCTCTCCTGTCTGGCGGACGCGATGGCTTCCTTCACCGCGAAGAAGATGCTGGCCGACAGGAACAGGGGAGGCTCTCCGATTGCCTGTTGGAGGAAGCTCAGGCATATAGTAACCAGAAACAGCGTGAAATGTGCTCCCAGGAATCGGAATCGGAATCCATAGAGTGCGGTTGAACGATGGAACTTCAGAGAAGTGATGGCTCGTGCCCAGGGCCGGATTGAGGGGGGAAGGGGGGGGGGGACTAAGGGGGCTGTTGCCCCGGACCCCACTCTTCCAGGGGAGCCCCCGAAAGAAGTTAACTTTGAATATTTGCGTAAAGTAGCGGTCCAATCAGATATTTAAATCCACACCTATCGAATAAACAGCATATTTTCTTTAATACTCTTTTTGTGCCACTTGCCCCGGGCCCGCATCTTAATCCGGTCCTGCTCGTGCCGCAAGTAGTACCTTGGCTACTAAGTCTGAGGAACTCGAAAGTGTGTCACCAGTTTTTGTTGAATGATTGCTGTCAGTCCTAAGTTAGTCTATCTGATCAGGTTCAAGTTCCGTTGCGGCACGGTCGCAGTTCGAAATGTCAATCATTTTTTTAATATGAAAACTCTGTCAATTTTAATTTTGGTAATTTCAAAAATTCTGGGATTAAATATCCGGGATTAAACATCTGGAATATTCGGGACTTTTGAATTTCAATTCTATATATCAACATGCATTGAGCAGACGGCATACCAAGTTGCACAAAAAGAGTATTAAAGAAAATATGCTGTTTATTCGATAGGTGTGGATTTAAATATCTGATTGGAAAGAAAGTTCTCGGAATTTCTTGAATATCCAGTACAATTTTTTTCCAGAGCATGCTAGAATGTTCTGCGTGTGTTTATAAGTAGGTCGTGTCCTTCGGCATACAACCGTATATTNGCGCAGCCGCCAGAGTTCTATTGGAATGGCATCCATAGTTTGCATAAACGTTGGCGTGAAGTGATAGAGGCCAATGGTGATTACATTCATGATTGAGATGATTTTGCTTTTAAATAAACTGGGTTGTAATAATTGTTCATGAAATTCCGAGAACTTTCTTTCCAATCAGATATATTTCCTGACAATCTTGCATTACCTACGTATAAACAGCACCACAATGTTTCCTTTGCATTCACGTGGGCCAGGTTTCTCCTAACCAGTAGGTCTATTCTCACTCTCAGACAGAGAATAGGACGTTGAAGCCATAGTAACACGACCATTCCTTCCTTCAAGGGCAAGATATGATAGCTTCTCATTCCATTCTTGCATCAACAATATATTAACAATATTCCCGGTCAAACCAAAAGTCGAGTTTAACCTCTCATTCCAAATGTTGCTCATGAATTTTTGGATTATTTTTCATGATTCGTGAGTCAAAATTTGAATGCAAGCCTTGCCTTGGAGGAGTAGACGGCGTGGATGTTGGGGCTTCCTTTGAGCAGGGAGACGTTGAACTCCTCGGGGATGTCCCCGAATCCAGGGATCTTATAGGTGGAAGGTCCTTGGGTCAGGATCTTGCCCTCAGGTGAATACAGCACTTCCTCAAGGAGAAATAACCCGTATCCCTGAATAAAGGCTCCTTCCACTTGCCCAATGTCTATGGCCGGATTCAGGCTCTCCCCCACGTCCATCACGATATCCGTCCTCAGTACCTAAACCATGCTTTTGAATGACCTGGTTTGTCCTTTAACGTACAGTTGGACAAAGCCTTTTTACCTTGTGGTCGCCGGTTAGACAGTCGATCTCCACTTCTGAGCAGGCCGCTCCGTAAGAATAATACGTGAATGTGTCGCCCTGCTTCCAGTTGCTTCCTCCGGCGGTTCTGAACAAAATCAAAAGAACAGAATTGAAGCATAAAAAAGGATAAATTTAACCCGTCCAAAAAGGACGTAAGGGTTCCAAGATTGCCAGACCCCAAAAAGTATACATTATATGATATTATGAACATATATTGAAACAAGGACAATAGACTTTAAGAATGAAATATATAAATAGTATGAGGCGAAATAATCAGTCAAAAGATATTGAAATTGAGGTTCGGTATCCATAGCTGGCTGTATTAAATGATTCTGAAGTGATTTTATTCCTGTCTGGCACTTGCATGAAAGTGTGTATTAATTTTGGGCATATGATGGCGGCTTGGAATATTATTATTTAGTGACGTACAGTAGTAGAGTTTGATTCTCATGCCCATGAATATGAATTGGATTTAATCGGATGGAGCATCCTTAAAAAATCTAATTGAATAAGCTAGCAAAGAAAGAACCAAGAACCGCAAGTGCAGAACAAGAACAAGCGGAAGGAGAACGAACCGACAGTATCCCGTGGCAGAGAGGCTGACCCGATTGAAGTAGGCGGCCTTCACCCAGTCCTCCCAACTCCCTTTTGGGTTTTCCCTTATGAAGGGTTCCAACCTCTGCTTCAGCGTTTCGCATGCTTCCTGAAAAGTACACCAACAGCAATAATCCATCAATGACCCTCTTCATCTACAGAACGAATGAAGGCTAGAAAAGCATACGATAACGGCTGGTCCGTTTAGGTCGGATCCCATGGAGCCAGCCGTGGGGCTGGTGTTAGGCACTGTGTCTGTGGAGGTCTCGATAGTATGGAAGTACGACACTGGCAAGCCCAACGCCCTACTTGCTACCTAAATATGCAGAGATGTTGTCATTTTGAGGTTCATCACGATATTGGCTCGGGTGATTTTTTTTTTCATTTCAGTCATATCTTCCACACTTGACGTAGAGAGCAGCGCGAATTATCCTGACAGACAGATATTCCCCTAAAAGCAAGTGATTCCATTGGTAAAGCCCCGCTGAAGATATATTTACGGGAAAGATATATTCCTTAAATTGATTCTACTGAGAAACTGTGAGAGAGGAATCCATGGCCACAATATTTTACTCAATGTAAATATGCATTGTATACTGAATAGGTTATTTTATTGTATTTGCTTTTATAGATGGCCTCGATCGTCTGAAGCCGTTGTAGCCAGATTTGATGAGTTTACCTGAATCATCTTGGTATGGAGTCCTTGCCCCATCTCCACCCCGCCGTGATTGAGGAGGACGGAGCCGTCGGTGTAGATGTGCACCAGAGCTCCGCCTTGATTCAGGAATCGAATCCCGAAAGAAATCCCATATGCCGTCGGGATCATCGCCAAGCCCCTCTTCTTCCATTGATTCTCGCTACGTTATCGACCAAACCAATACCCAGGGCCTTTTGAAACGCACACAAGAGTTTACACAAGAGACGACGACCGACCTGTTGAATTTCTTGACGAGTTCTCGCCGGTAAAAGAAATCAGAGTTCTTGAAACATTCCTCCCAGCATCTCCGAACGGTGCAGTGGGTGAGTATATTGGTCTGAAGGGTCTGGTCTCCCTCTTTAAACAGGTTCTTCTCTCGTACCTGAAATGAAGATAATTGAAACTTCTTGCGCAAAAAAAGTTCATTGCAAGGTACAGTAATGCATTGTATTACGTGTAGCCATTTAGAATGAAGGTTTACGCGGGATCGTAAGAATATTCGTCCTGCAGTAAGATGCATCGGATGGTCTTGTCATTTGCAGAAGTGAAACCATAGGTGGATTTCCACAGTTGAATCACTTATTCAGTATCAGCATTACTTAGCATTACAATCTGGTGTAAAATGCAGAACGTTGTGTGCCTGACTTTCGCATGAGCGCAGGCACTTTCTGGCTCTGTGAGCGAGCCCAACCTTATCATCGGTAAATTTGGAGGATAACTGACTAAGACTCCATGACTTGAACTATTTCGATTTAAAAAAAATCCGCGCAAGGACAAGTACATCATCAGCCCTCTCTGAGCAATGCGAAAATAACTGATCGGCAAAACAATCTTCGACGACGATGGAGGAATATGACGCGCTTTTGTGACTGATGCTAAGTTCCCCAACGCCGACTATTATTGGATCAACCTTTGCAGGACATCATTAGATGCCCTGAATACTATCCTTATTTTTCTGGCATTTAAATGAATTTTAGAAAGTTCTTGTGACAGTCTCGCCTGCCATCAGATTTTGGAAAATCTGGGAAGCAAGACAAGGAAACCGCAGCCTCCTTCCTCACGAACCGCAACGGGATCCAGGCAGAGGAACTCGGCGACATCCTGCATCCACTGCTCGCATATCATCATGGCCTGGGGTGACCCGAACGCCCGAAACGCCGTGTTAGAGCAAATGTTGGTCCTGCACACGTAGCCTCTAACTCGCACGTTCGGTATGTGGTAGGCGTTCGTTGAGCCACAAATGGCTTTGATCATCACCTTCAGTGGGAGAAAAATAAAAAATGCTGCAATCTTTTCTACAATAAATAAAATACTGTACGATGCATATATTAATTTTAAGCTTAAACAACATTATGAGCAGAGTTTATACATAATTAACATATACTGTATGTACTGTAGCTCAGAATGAAAGCAATGAATACTATGGTATCAAGCTACTTTGACAAGTGGTCATGTTTCGACAACCTACATTGTAAGTATCTATTTCCGTCCCATATCAATTTATATAAAATTGTAGACTTGAATTTTTAAATTTTGACATTGAACTGTTCGGAGTTTTAAAAGGGTTTATTTTTGTCTCAGACAGTTAAAACCCTGCTTACAGGAAAATTCAAAACTCACGTATTGGGAAAGGTCAAAGCTGTAACCAGCGTTGGAGTACATGGTGACATCGAGAGCAAGTATCCTTCCGTCGGGGCTGAAGCCGACCTTGTATCTGCCCAGGAAAGGATGGCGTCCTCCGGTTGAGATCATGTCCGCGTCTCTGTCCAGGACGTTTCGCACCGAGCGACCGAATCTGGGTTAAAAGTCTCTATCTTACTTCACATGGAGGCTACTTCTTGGGATTTCACTCGAAAATCTGACACAAAAGTATTATTTCGATGGAAATTTGATACTATGAAAGCACGGGTATAGTCCTGGCTCTGTCATGTTTCTTCGGCATGCTTCTCTTGTAAGTTTAAACCGTTTTCGAGGATGCTGGTAAAAGAAAAGGCAGGATTAAATCCTGTAATTCTGTTGATCAATCGGCATGAACGAAAGGGGAGAAATCGCGTGATCATGTTGCACATATGAAGTTCCTGAATGGGGGGAATTGAATGACGTTCAAAATGAATCCAGCAATTCTAAACTTATTGTACTGAGAAGGCAGGCGGTAAGAAAGACAGACTTTCGAGCGGCAACAGCAGCTGATATGATGTGCAGCACACTCCGCGCTTCTTTCCCTCCGAATCCACCGCCGATTCTCTTCACCTTGCATGTCACCCGGTTGTATTGTATGCCCAGGGCTTCCGCCACGCCTCTTTGTGCATGCGATGGATCCTGTAATTGCGGCAAGCAATGATAACAACGAATGAAAGATCATTTTTCTGGATTCTATTATTATAATATATTAGTCTGCATCTATCCCAGCAATGAACTTGCACTCTAAATGCGATAAGTCATGCATTGCTGACATTTGTATAATTATTTTCCTTTATCACAGCGAAATCATTGATATTTTAATTTTTTTAAATTCATATACCGGTATAGCGGTTTATATTTATTCTAGCAGTTACCTGTGAAATATTCACATACCCCCAATAGAGCCAAATAAATAGCCCCCAATCTCCTGTGTTAAAATTGTCAGCATGTTTGGCAAGTAGCATTTGTCAACAACGTCGTACGAATTCCAAGCACCAAAGAATTGGATAAGTAATAGGGGATGAATTTCATCATCAAAGATTCGCTGCTTGCCTATATGCGGAGATTTTCAACGAGTTCTGTCTTTCCTCGCAAGGGAATTGGATAGCCCAAAGAGGAGAGGGGTAATGTTAACCAGCACTTACCATTTGCCAGCAACCCTTTCGTGTGCTGTCATTTGTTCAGTTCATTCCCTGCCTAAGTTATGACTTTTCTTTTGCTTTCATAAGGCCGGGAATTGGATGTACGCGGTACATTCAAAAAGTTCTGATCCTTGTTTTTTAGATGGAAAATCAACATTATTACATTGTTCAACATTAGGTCATATTTCAGAATAGTCTCCGTAATTGCCACCACTCAAATTGCATCTTCAAATCCTCATTTGAAAAGCAGCAGCAAATTTTTATGCTGGGCATGTTCACAGCACTGAAAAATATTTGCCCACACAGACCTGTGCCCACACAAGCATGTGTGAAGGCTTAGCTTCCATCATTTTTGTGATAATAGTGAATCAAATTCCAAGAAAATATGTTTTAAAATTCAACTCCTTAATGAAGGAAAAAACAATATTTTGCCTCCCTGAATTGCAAAAACAATTAATTTGAAATACCTGGATGGAGGCGTGGATGAGAAATTCATCATGTTCATGCAATGGTGTGACGATGCAGGACTGGGGTTCCAAATAGAAGTGTTCCTGACCCCCAACTCTGACCTGGCCTTCGAGGACGTGAGGGGCCTGGGACAGAGCTTCATCCACGTTGCCGATTTCCGTCCAGTCCTCCCAAAAAAATTCTCGCTCCTTTATCGCCTCCTACGCAACTCCAAGCTCACCCGGTTTCATTCATCCATGAGATTTCCAGCATTTCATGATGCAATAAATATGTAAACTTCGCACAGGGAAAGTACCTATATGCTTAAACATTAACACAAACATCAAATATATTTTTACTGGGCTCTTCCATCATGCGCTCGATGACATGACGAGTTGTAGGAACCATCAAGGAAGAGCACAAAATGAACCATTCTTTAACCGATTCAGCTTAACCTCAAAGATGATCTGAGCCACATTCCATCAGTATTGTTCAAATGAGAAAGTCAACTTTGGCATGTCTAACAACAGGGATGCACCAAGATACATAGAATAACCTGGGGATGCACAACCTCCGGCCCGCGGAAGGGTTTTATCCGGCACCGGACCGGATAAAACCCTTCAGCTTGTACTGCCATCCCATTGAAGATTGTCCTGCGTCCTCCGATGCCCAGCCCGCGATGATTACCCAGCCGTCACTATTTGGCCCTTTGGCGAAAAAGGTTGTGCATCCCTGTCTTACATGAAGTCTTTTGCAGCTAAGGCAAAAGGCTGGAAAAAAGAAGACATTATAGTAAAACATCTGCTTCTTGAGAAGAGAACACAAGAACAAAGGAAGGCGTACATGTCGAAAATGTTTCACAGACTCATGCAGGAATGACGATTTAAAATACAGTTTTTAGGGGTGGAAGACTGACCCCAATAGCATGAGACATTCTCAGATAGTAGGTCAGGGGTGCACAACACACGGCCCGCTATGATTGGCAGCGTTATAAGTGTAACAATGGCTCCTGTCCTGTTGGCCATAGAAATGGTCCGCCAGACTAATAGAAGAAGTATGGTTTGAAGGCTGTACAGCGCGCGAAATGATGGTAAAAATCGCAAATGGTCCTCATAATCTTTTGAGTTGTGCACTCCTGTCCTGTCGTTGGTGCTAGGTAAATGTCTCCTGGAAGAATAGCTTTACGAAAACCTCAACCACTCGGTGGTCATCCATATGCTGTTTCATAGGCATCGAAGTTCTTAGCAAGGAATTTCTCTTCGGTATTTGGAAACGTTCATTATTAAAGGGCTCTACCTCAATTGTGATGATTCTGGGTTGCAAATCTTCATACTCGACTCGGACGGCTTTAGCAGCGATTTTGGCTATCTCCCTCGTCTCCGCCAGGATTCCACCAATGACCTGGCCATCGCTAGTCACCTTGTGGAACATAACAAAATATTAACGTACTATCATTTCGTACTATCATAACGTACTATCATAACGAACAATGCTAGTTCTGAATACATGTGCGAGGTTTCATTCTTCAGTTCCATGCATCTCCATCCCCCCCTTCATTTGCTAATTAATAATGTACCTTATCCCGTCGGAAGACGAACTCGTCACTAGTTTCCCCGAAGAGATTTCTTTCACCAGGGAGATCTTCTTCTCCCACCCATCCGATGACACCCTTGATGTCAAAAGCTGGGCTTGGATCCACATGTACCAACTTTGCATGACTGCGACAGCTGTAGACGAGAACGAGATGCGCTTCATTGTCCCGTGGTGGTATGTCGTCCACGTATTGGGCTTCCCCTGTCGCCTGATGGTACGCGGACTTCGCTACCATCGGCCTCCCGACTGCGTCCCATTTTGGCTGCCCTCCTGGCACCTGCACAAAGGTCATCTCCATGTGTTCTCCATTCAAGTGTATTCTACAAAGTCGTTATTAGTTTGAGGTAGCTCACTATTTGGAAATACTGAGAGGCCTTGGGGAAGTCTTTGTGATATGTCCCTAGAACGCTATCTGTTCCAGGAGGCAGTTTCATACCGAGGTGTCGACAGCCTTCCAGCCAGAACTTGTAAAAGAAGCTGGTGTAGAAGAAAAAAATTACCCATAAGAAAATAAGGCGTAGTGAAGGGAGGTGGAGACGCGAGAGTGGAAACAGGAAAACTTGCCTGAGAGTGAGACTTTGACGGTAACGAGTCATGCCCCCAGGAGCGCCTGGGTCCAAGGGCAAGTCTTCCTTCAGCAGATCCAGAGCTTCCTCCAGCAAGTCTTCATTCCATTCCCTAAACGCAAAGGAGATCCTGGCTTACTGTCTCTTCTTTAAACTGTGTAAACTTGAGATTTCTCATACTTTCCGATGAGGTCGTTCCTGGTCCTGGTGGCCATGACGGTATACGGAGCCATTCCACCAAATGATAGACGGATGTCCTTGACCTTTCTCGACCCAGGATGGAATTGGACGAACATTCCAGCATTGACGATAGCGATGTCGTCCTCTCTTCGCCGGGCCTGTTTGTATCCTTTGAATACTTCATCAGGGGACGTGGTAGGGATCTCGATCCACACCAGGATCTCTTCCGGTCGGATGATGTTCCTCCGGTAACCGGTAAAGAAGTTCTCATC